GGTCTTGATACATCTTCGTGCTACCAGGATGGATGGTGTACGGGGCACTATGGGCCTCTCTCAAAATCTCCCTCCGCAGTTCCCACACCCTCGGAACACAAAGTCTACCCTCGAAGACCAAGGCCCCATCAGATGCGACTGCGAATCCTCCAACTCTACCGGCTTCTGACAACTCCCTCATCCGGCATAGGAAACGGTCATTCGGTTGCTCGGCGACTATCCTCACTCGAAGAGTCGGTCCCACAACCAAAGAGGCCAATACACCCCCGGCTGTCGAAGTCGACTCTACTGCCTCCAGCTGTAATCGCTCGAACTCCCGAAGAAAAACATCCTGCCCGGTGAATAAGCAAGACAGCTGGCCATAACTCCTCCGGCTAAGGGCATCGACTACCACGTTAGCTTTCTCAGGGTGATAGCTAATGGTGCAGTCGTATTCCTTGACCAGCTCCAACCACCTACGCTGTCTGAGTGAAAATGTACTTTAGGCTCTTGTGGTCGGTAAAGATCTCACACTTGCCTCCATAGAGGTAGTGCCGCCAAATCTTCAAGGCGTGGACAACTGCAGCTAACTCCAGATCATGAGTGGGGTAGTTCTGCTCGTGAGGCTTCAGCTGCCTCGAAGCATAGGCTACGACTCTCCCTTGCTGCATGAGAACTCAACCCAAGCCCATCTTCGAAGCATCACTATAGATCGTGCTCTCCTCGCACTTCTGACTCCAATCAAACCTCACGGCCTTATTCGTAAGGTTGGTTAGTGGTTGGGATATCTTCGAGAAGCCCTCGATAAACCTCCGGTAGTATCCTGCTAACCCCAGGAAACTATGAACGTCAGCGGAACTTCTTGGCGTATCCCACTTGCTCACCGCCTCGATCTTGCTGGGATCCACCTCAATGCCTCTCGCCGTCACAATGTGGCCAAGGAACGCCACACGGTCTAACCAGAACTCGCATTTCGAAAATTTTGCATACAACTTCTCGCGGCGAAGGGTTTCCAGCACAATCCTCAGATGCTCCTTGTGTTGGTCGATGTCTCTGGAATAAACCAGGATGTCGTCGATGAACACAATGACAAACTGGTCCAGATAAGGATGAAAGATCCTATTCATAAGGTCCATAAACACGGCCGGGGCATTGCTGAGTCCGAACGACATGACTACAAACTCATAGTAGCTATAACGGGTACGAAAGGCAGTCTTAGAAATATCCGACTCCCGGATCTTCAGTTGATGATAGCCAGACCGCAAATCGATCTTCGAGAAGACGCTGGCTCCTCTCAGCTGGTCGAAGAGATCCTCAATACGGGGAAGGGGGTACTTGTTCTTGATTGTAAGGGTATTCAGCTCCCGATAGTCAATACACATACGCATGGATCCGTCTTTCTTCTTCACGAATAGGACGGGTGCACCCCACGGCGAAACACTCGGTCGAATAAAAACGAGTCTGAGCAATTCCTGGATCTGGGCCTTAAGCTCTTGAAGATCCTTCGGTGCTATACGGTAAGGGGCCTTAGACACAGGGCTAGCTCCCGGTACTAAGTCAATGGTGAACTCCACTTGGCGGTCGGGTGGTCCTCCGGGCAGCTCATCGAGAAAAACATCAAGGAATTCGCAAACAATAAAAACTCGCTCCGGAGTACGCTCGGAATCATCCTCGGACACCATAGAAACAAGATAGCCTTGGCAGCTACCCTTGGAAAGGCTCTTCCTAGCTTGCATAGAAGAGATGACTCGAGGCACAGTCCTCGACTTCACCCCAAAGAATACAACCGGCTGATCAGAAACGGGAAAGAGAGTGACTTCGCGCTCCTGGCACTGGATGTCGGCTCCATAGCGGGTGAGCCAGTCCATGCCCAAGATCACATCGAAGTCCCGCATTTCAATCACATAAACACTGGCCTCCAAAATATACCCACCAATACTGACTGGAAGACTGGGAATCATAGAATCGGAAATAATAATCTTGCCCGAGGCTAAACTAACCTCGAGAGGGTCCCATGAGCACACATTACTAATGGACAAAGCCTCCAAGCAACGAGTAGAAATAAAAGAATGGGTAGCACCAGTATCACACAATGCAAAGACAGGCACGTTGGATATCGAAAGCATTCCGGACATAGTACCTGCGTTGTTGGCTGCCTCATCATGAGTGATGGTATACACGCGGGCCTGACCCCCAGCCCTCTGCTGGTAAGGTGGGGGATGTCTGGGCTGCTGCTGATGGGGTGGAGGTGGAAGCTGCTGCTGCTGAGGGTAGGGTGGCTGCTGCTGTGGCCTCTTCGGCTCGGGGCACACATGTGAAAAGTGTCCGACACGGTGGAAATTGAAACAGTGTCTGTCGGCTGCTCGGCACTCTCCTGGCCCATGGAACTTGTCGCAGTTAGGGCACCTCGGATATTGTCCCTGAGGGGGTCGGTCGTCACGCCTCCCGAAGTTCCCTTTCTTTCTTTTCTTCTTGTTCTGATGGTAGTCGGCCTTCCTCTTGCCCGAATTAGAACCGGGCGCAACAGCTGAGATAGGCTGAATCATAGGGGTCTGCTGATAGGATGGGGCAGTCGCCCTCTGGGAATTCTGGCAAACCTCCAACTCGGTGGCTCGACGGACCATATCGGAGTAAGGCAGAGCTCCGTGGCCAGTCAGGGTGTAGCAAAGGTCGGGACGAAGACAATTACGGAAACGAAAGGCCTTCTTCTGGTCGGTATCTACGAGCATCGGAGCAAACACGCACATACGGGTGAAGTCGCACTCGTAGACATCCACGGGACGGGGTCCCTGCTTGAGCTCCCAGAAGTCCTTCAGCATCTGGGCACGGTGAGCCTCTGGGTAGTACTTGTCCTTGACTTTAGTAACCATCTGGTCCAAAGTCAATGCATCCCTCTCAGCACGAGGACGAAGCCTCCAATAGTCATTCCACCAAGTCCTAGCATCTCCGGTCATCACGAACGAGGCACAACGGATTTTCACCTCATCAGTGGTGAACAACAGATCAAAGATACTCTCCAGCTGCTGAAGCCATTTTGCCACAGCTTCGGGGCCCTCAACTCCGCTGAACGCCGGAGGATGCATGTTACGGAAATCGATCACAGCTTCGGTAACGGGATCTATACTCGGAGCATGCTGATGAGGAGGAGGAGGAGGAGGAGGCGGGGGAGGTGGTTGTTGCTGATAGCTATTGCGGGTTTGGCGAGCCATAATTTCTACATTTGAAAATGGCCGAAAGATTTAGCACACAAAAATAAAAGAAGTCTAGAGTTCAACACTAGAGTTCACATTTTAAAGGTAGATAAAACCTAACCCCAAATATTAGCATTACATCACTCAAGTATATACCAATACTTATTTAAAACATATCTTAAGCAGTGCGGCACGACGAAGACGAGTGGTCAACACACAAGATCAATTCACATAATCACTTAATCACATATAAACCAGTCTACAGAAACGCAGACTGGCTCTGATACCAAACTATAACGCCCCAAAGGTTTTTAAAGACAATTTCGGACTTATCCAAAAATCTTGTTTTAAAATTTCGAAAACCATTTATCGATTCATAAAACATTTGGCGTTACTTGAGAACTTTCCAAGGTTAAACACATAATCAACATAAGGGAAACGAGAATATTCAACATAATTCAAGTTCCAAGACTAGATTTCAACATATCTAGCAATAGGATTGTCAACATAATCCTAACTGATAAAAATATTCCACATGGTTCAACAGTTCAACCAATCCCGAAAGCAATAGGGATGAATAACAAAGTCTGATAATCTCAACATAAATATCAAAGCAAACGGAAGCAATATAAAGCAATAATAATGTTTGACCACCCACTCATCTTCAGTCTCGTCATGCCCAACACTTGCTTAACCTGCGTCAATGAAGAGTAGGTGGGGATGAGCACAAATATAAACGAGGTGCTCACCACTATGCATAATATATTGGTAAGAAGCCTATACTAGAGTCATATGCAAGTACATGGTCAAAAGACATAACACACCACTCTCCTACTCATCACTATACTTATGTGCACACCTATCAAAAGCCGCCAGGGGTAAGCCCAAACTCGTCAGCGGGAGTACAGTCGTGCCGAGGTTCAACATCAACAGTCACGGCCCATCGACTAGGCTAAAATGAGTTTACCTATCACAAGGTTGGAGATCGCCCACCACTAGGCACCGTCTCATGACTCACACAAACATTCATAGAACAAAGTATAAGAATCTTACCTCCATTATAGCATAGCAAATTTTAGATTAAAACCCACCTGGAAATCGAGGTAGAATATCACACGAAAGCAAGTTCGTAGGTCGAGGGCTCGACTCCTCAAACACCTACATTTAAGCGAGATAATATATTAATAATCTATCTCACTACTCGAATTTAACATAAAACCCAGGCTTAATAAAAATTAAGACTTAAGGGTTTTAATCGGATTTTTCGTGGACTTGGAACTCTCTAATTTTTTAAAAATAGAACTCGGAGAATTAAAATTTAAGTTTCGGGACTTAAAATAATTTTTCTCAAAATTTTATCATTTTGAAATATTTTAAAAATTTAAATCGGTATAAAAACGGGCTCCAAAACACAAAATTGGGCTAAAAAGCTGACTGGGCCGCATTGGCCACTTTCTGAAATTCTGGGCCGCGAAAATTGGGCTAAGTAACTTGGCCTAAAGCTCACAATGGCTGTGAACACGCGGGCCATAACTAGGCTGGGGCGCGGGCCCAAGCAGCTGAGGAAGATGGACCGCGCGGGCCGGATTTAGGGCCAGAAAGCCCGCGCACTGAAACTGGTTACATTATAAGCAAATAAAATTGTGATTATGATTGCGCCAATTACCGGGTTCCAGTTGTCTTTTCTTCCGATTGGAAGTTTCTCGATAATTACCGGTTTCCGGTTGATTTTCATCTTCTCTGATCTGTATTCTCTCCATTCAATCTCATCTCGCTCCTTCCTCTCTCAATCTTATTACATTCTCTCTGGTTCTACCTACAGTATGCAAGAAGAATTAACTACTCGCCTCCAAAGATTTTCTCTTTCGCAAAGAGAAGAAAATATCACCGATCTAGATCCTACAAATATTCGTCTCAGCTCTGATGAGTGCAAGAGAAGCCTCTTTGGCAAAATCGTCGGCGATAGAAAAGCTCATCTCTTTGGGCTTAAACGAACCATGGAACAGATCTGGCAACTCAAACATCCGCTGACGATTAGAGAATTAGAGCCGAGTTTCTTTCAGTTCATCTTTGATTCTGAAACGGAAAAAAGCAGGGTTGCTACTGGAAGGAACTGGTCCTTTGAAAATCAATATCTAATTTTGAAGGAATGGCAAGATGACTTATCTGCTGACCATGATTGCTTCACAGAAATGGACATGTGGGTCCAGGTTAGTAACGTCCCCCTCAATTGGCTCTGCTCGGAGGTTGGATTGAAAATTGGAAGATCTTTCAAGAAAGTGAAAAATGTAACCATATGTACGGGAAATGGGAACTGCGGAAGATATCTCCGTCTCCTGGTTACTGTCGACCTGAAGGAGCCTCTTCTGAGATGTACCTGCATCAAATTGGGGGATACTTTTAAGAGAATTGAATTCAAATATGAGAAATTGTTAAATCTTTGTTACTATTGTGGAAAAATCGGACATGTTGATAGAACGTGCAACCTTCGAATGGAAGACATTGCTAATGGAACTCTATCGGAAGGGCAGTACGGGGACTGGCTAAAAGCGACAGAAGGAACCTTTTCTCCAAAAGCAAGCAAGTCCTCAGAAACAATGCAAATGCAAGAGAATAATAACAATCCACTGGGCAACTCAACTATGAGCAATCAAAACGGAATGGGTAATAGCAGCTCACCCAAGCCTGCAGCCTTGGGACCAGATAAATCCATGGAGAAGGATTTTATTGCTAGCAGCTCAGGTCAGCTCTCCACGAGTAGCCAAGGCAACCAAGTCAAGACTGACCTGTCACCTAACAAAGTTCTGCTATTGCAATTCAGCAACAATGAAGCATCCAACATCAATGAGCACCTAATGGATTTTACCCAGTCCACTTCGCAGCAGCCTGTCCTAGTAGGTAAAAGTAAGAACCAACAAGATTCAAAAAGGAAATTGTCAAGGAGACAAAACAAAACTGCAGCAAACAGCCCGACCCACATTTCTCAATCTCTTAATGAACCTAATGAGACCAGCAAGAGAAGCAGACAAGATGCCATGGATGACTACAATCCCTCAACCCAACCAGAGGTTAAAGACAGCTCAAATAAAAAGCAAAAGTTAATGGATGCACATGTGGTGGAAGCCAGCCTTAAATGGCCCCCAGGTGATCAATGACAGCCATGGTGTGGAACTGTAGAGGTCTGGGTGGGCCCTCTACAGTTCCCCAACTGAAGGAATCTTGGAGATCCTACCACCCAAATTTTTCCTTTTTGTGTGAAACCAGAAAATGGAAGAAGTTTGTTAATACTGTCTGCAGAAGTTTGGGAGTAGAAGATAGATGGATTGCATCAGACCCTATTAGCAAGGGAGGGGGTTTGCTGGTCTTTTGGAATAATGAAGTCACCATCTACCAAATCATATGCCAACCCTTTTGTGTGGAAATAGAATACAACCTTTCCACCAAGCCTGAAAAATCTTTGTTTATCTTTGTCTACCTCAGCCCTTGCAGGAAAACTAGAAGTGAGCAGTGGCACTATCTCAGTCAAGCTAGAATGAATTGGGGGAGTAATTGGGTGATTACAGGGGATTGGAATGGCATCATATGCCAAGGTGAGAAGAATGGGGGAAGAAGTAGGCCAGAATCCAGTTTTTGGGGCTTTAGAGCATTGTTGGCTGACTTGGGAGGCCAAGAAATATACACGGAAGGATACCCTTTCACCTGGGGCAACAACAGAATTGATGAGGGATATATAGAGGAGAAACTGGACAGAATGATTGCATCCCTGCACTGGCTTCACAATCATCTGAATGCCAAAGTCATCAATATTTTCAGAAGTGCTTCAGACCATAACTTACTGCTTCTGCACACTGGGACCCCATCAAATAACAAAAGGAAATTTTTCTGCTTTGATAGAAGATGGCTGAAGATTCCAGGCTTAAAAGAAGAGATACAGAAAGTATGGATCAACCAGAAAAGGACTCCCCCATGTTCAATTTCACTGAGAAGATAAAAGCTACGAGGACAGCCTTACTGAATTGGAGCAGAGCACTGGAAACTAACTCAGCCAAAAACATTGAAAAGCTAAATGCTGAGATGACTGGGCTCAGAGAGCAAGGAGGAATAAGGAATTAAGAAAGGTGGAACAACCTCAAGCAACAGCTTAATGAAGCATATAAAAATGAAGAGCTCTTTTGGAAACAAAAATCCAGAGCACTGTGGCTTAGAGAGGGGGACAAGAACACAAAATTCTTCCATGCCTTAACCCTCCAAAGAAGAAAGCTAAATGTTATTTCCAGACTTGTAAAGGATGATCAGACTGTTTGCACTTCCAGAGAAGAGATAGCTGCTTGCTTAACAGATCATTATCAACATCTCTTCTCTTCTGAGGGCTCCACTGACATTGGCAATATCCTCTCCTTCATACCTACCACCATCACTGATGAATTAAATGCCAACCTCATTGCTCAGGTGACTGAAGAAGAGATTAAAGATGCTATGTTCCACATGCACCCTGAAAAAGCACCTGGATGGGATGGTATGCACCTTCTTTTTTTCAATCCTTCTGGAGTATTGTTAAAGCTGACTTATGCAAAGCTGTTCTCTCTTTCTTTAATTCTGGTCATATGCTTAAAAATTGGAGCCTCACTCTATTTACATTAATCCCTAAATGCCAAACACCAATTACTGTGGGGGATTACAGGCCTATTAGTCTTTGTGAGGTGATTTATAAAGTTATCTCCAAAATTCTTGCTGAAAGACTCAAACCCTGCCTTTCTTTATGCATTAGTAACACTCAAGCTGCTTTCATACCTGATAGACAGCTTTTGGATAATGTCATTATAGCACATGAAGTGTTCCATTTCATCGATAGGCATAGAACTGGCCCTAAGAAGTACATGGCACTAAAGCTGGATATGTCTAAAGCCTTTGACAGAATCGAGTGGGCCAGTATCAGGAAAATTATGACAAAAATGGGGTTTCATGTTCAATTTATAAACTGGATCATGGCATGTGTTCAATCTACCTCATTTTCATTTAAGCTTAATGGCATTCCTACTGGCTATGTTGTGCCTTCAAGAGGTATTAGGCAAGGGGATCCCATTTCCCCTTACGTTTTTATAATTGTGTCAGAAAGTTTATCTTGCTTAATCCAGCATGAAATGACCACAGGCACATATCAGGGGCTCAAAGTCTCTAAACAAGGCCCCACTCTCAGTCATCTTTTCTTTGTTGATGACTCTCTTCTCTTCTGTCAAGCTACTGTGAATGCTGCTCACCTCATTTTGTCTATGCTAGAAAAATATAAATCTCTCACAGGTCAGCAAGTAAATTTGAGCAAGTCATCAGTATTCTTTACTAAAAACACTCATGAGGACACTCAACACAACATCTGTAACATTCTTCAGGGAATCTCTGTTCATAAATCTTCAAGGTACTTGGGGCTGCCACTTGGCATAGGGAGATCAAAAGGGGACACCTTTAAATATGTGACTGATGCTGTGAATCACAAGTTGTTGAGCTGGAAAAATAAATTCTTATCAGGAGCTGGGAAAGAAGTCCTCATGAAATCAGTTCTCAGTGCACTGCCTGTCTTTACTATGTCATGCTTTCTTCTTCCAGTGGGCATATGCAAGGATCTGGCTAAAATATTTGCAAATTTCTGGTGGAAATCTCAGTCAAATTCAAGTGCTGGTATACATTGGAAGGCATGGCAACTCCTTACTCTTCCTAAAGCAGCTGGTGGTCTAGCCTTCCATGATCTTCAAGTTTTTAACCAAGCACTTATTCTAAAACAATTATGGAGATTGGTCAAAAATCCAAAACTTCTCATGAGCAGAGTACTCAGGCATAAATACTTTCCATCTGGGAACTTCTTTGATGCCAAGCCCACACAGAATGCATCATGGCTATGGAGATCATTGCTTAAACTGCAAAAAACTTTTCTTTGTGGCTACATGATACAGGTCAAAAATGGCAGAACAACAAGAATATGGGAACATCCATGGGTTCCTAATCTTCCCAATAAATTTCTGAAGAAAGTCCCTGATGCTCCTAACCTAACTTGGGTTTCTGATCTAATGACTGAAGATGGGGAGTCTTGGAATGAAGATCTTATTATGAAAGTGTTTTCCACAGCTGAATGTGAAGCAATCCTAAAAATCAAGCCGTTGAGCAGAAACCTGCAAGATAAAGCCATCTGGACCCTCAACTCTAAGCAGATTTTCACTGTGGCCACTACATATGCTCACCTAATCTCTGATAAGATCTTAAAGCTTGATGTTCCTGAAGGAAGCACTGAAGCTGCAAAAATGAGAAAAATGAGAATAAAAAGCTGGAAGTTGAAGATAAAGGGCAAGATTAAGCACTTTCTATGGAAGTGCTATAGTGACATACTCCCAGTTGCTACAAACCTCTGTAAAAGAGGACTCAACATTGACTCTACTTGCATGCTCTGTGGTCAACTCCCTGAAACAACTGAGCATATACTATTCCAATGTCTAAGGGCTGATAAAGTCTGGAAATTATCCCCGGTGCACTGGGAGGGGCCAGCAAAGTTCCAGGAAAACTTCAAGCATTGGTGGGCTACCCTCTGTCTGATTAAAGCTATTAAATCTATTGAAGAGCGAATTCAACTCTCAACTTATATTCTGTGGCAGTTATGGAAAACTAGAAATTTATGGGTATTTCAGAAGATATGGACTCCAGAGAAGATCATTATTGATAATGCAGTGAAAGAATGGATTGAGTTCTCCTCTATCTCTCCTCCTTCTGAGCTTAGCTCCTAGACTTTTTTAAGTTTTTTTTTCTAATGTTCTCTAGCTAGGCATATGCAGTGGCTAGTCTTTGTTTTATTAGTTTTTTTGGTTCTGTTCCTGTTGGGATGCAGCAGATCCCTAGGGTCTTTTGTGGCTGTTGCATTGCTTTTGTTTTGTTGCTAGTTTGTCTAGGAGATTTTGGCTGTTCTCCTCTGATCCATTTTGTTTTTTGGATCATGGTCCTTTGGGCCCCGATGTAATATTGACTGTTTATTTAATGAGAATTCCTCGGCCGTTTCAGAAAAAAAAAAAAGAAACTGGTTACATTATTAAAAAAAAGGCAAGAAAGCACGGGCTGGGAGTTCGAACTCACGACCTCGCACACGCGAAACAGCGCTGCACACCACTGCACCACAGACGGGGATGAGACTTAGAACAAAAACTTGAGTTACAAAAATCAAAACAAAAGCCTGGGACCTGATAAAAGAACAGAGCTGCAAATGGCAGTAAATTTACTACCAAATTCGTACAATCCATCTGCAGCTCAGGTTCGGGAAAAACAGTACATATTTATCACAGTTTGAAATATCTTTAAAAAAAAACGGATTTTTGAGACGAATAAACGAAACGACAAATAGGGTTCGAGCGAAAAAAACATATATGAACGAGACAACCCGAAAATAACAACGAGTCACTGAAATAAGACTAATTAATCCCAGCTGCAACAAGACTCAATTTATACAATATACAAGAGTTCCGAAAGTCTACGAAAATTCACAAATAGCAGCATACGAACCGATTAACGAATATAACTCAACCGACAAATCATCGAATTTCAATTAAATGAGCACGACGATAATCGAGTGATACACGAGCACGAATAAAATAACGAGAAGGTTCGAAAGACGAAATGACGATACGTAGTTTGAAAACAAACAAATAACATAACGACAACGGCAAGACTCGAAACAACAACGAGACTCCGAATCCAAATGACTTATTCATAGCAGCAGCATAAAGGGTTCGACTTTCATAAACAAGAGACCCAATTATCCATGGAACTCACGAATCCAACACATGAACAAATAGGCAATCCGAATAAATGATCCGATATCAGAATCCAAGCGAAAGACGATAATTGAATCCAACTATTTACTAGCATGATAAAATACAGCCAGAAAAATAAATACGAACTCGATAGAGGGATTCGAAAGGTTACCCGTCTTCGGGAATTTACGAGAAATCGGAAAATCGGGTCGGTATGGAGCAAATGCGCGAACGGGCCCTCAGAAGCTCGATGAACGGCTCGACAGACGGACGTCAAAACTCTC